AATATTTGATTGGAGAAGTACAAATCAAGCCATAATAATACCTTCTATTTTTTTAGGATCTTATTCATCAAAGTCAAAGCATATGCAAATTGACACCGAATATTTTAAATCTCTTACTAAGTAAGAAAAGACTTATTATTGTTAAAAAGATTTGTGCTTATATTATAGAGAACCTAAGCACATTGCTCAATATTATCCAAAAAAATAATTCAATCACAAAATGAGAAGCATAGTTGCCAAAAAAGATGAGTTGTCAAAAAATAAGTCTCTCTAACTACAATAGAGACAATGCACCTAGAATCTTGTATAACATCTAGTAAAGGTCTTATTCTTTCTTTAGATGTTTTACCTTATTTTATAATAGAAGTTTATTTAAGACTAAAAAATCACAAAGTCTTAATCTTGTTAGATTCAAGAGCCTTAGTCTATTTTATAGATGAAGACTTTGTCAAAAAATAAGATATATCTTTAGTTAAAAAAATCAAACTTGTACACATAGAAGTAATAGATACTCATTCATTGATTTCTAGAGATGTTATATATGAAATATTTTTTTAGATATAGTAATTAATAAATATAATTATTTAATAATATTTAATATAATTAAATTTATTTTTAATTCAATTATTTTAGGATTATCATGGCTAAAAAAAATATAATCCTCAAATAGATTAGATTTCTTATAAACTTAGTTTTTCTTGTAGTTTAGTCTAAGATTTTGCTACGCAAGTAAAAATCCATCAGATTAATACATCTAAACCATTATTGGTAGATACGTGAGCTTTCATACATGCCATAAAAAAAAGATCAACTTTTACTATATATGTCATGCCTATTATTGAAAGAAAAAAGATTTCAAGTAGTATTTCAAGCAAATATTAAGAATATGAAGATATTTTTAAAAAATAAATGCATATATTCTTCCAAAGCATTGTTTCTATGATTGTTCTATCAATCTTCAAGAAAGAGCTCAACTATCATTTGTACCAATTTATAAAGTATCACAAAACAAGTTCATTGTATTTAAAGAATATATTGACAAGAATTTTGCTAAGAACTTTATATACCATTCTAAACCTCCAATTGTGGCTCCTATCTTATTTTTAAAGAAAAAAGATAGATCTTTGTATATGTGTGTAGACTATCAAGGACTCAAAAAGATCACCATCAAGAATAGATATCTTCTATCTTTAATTTTAAGACTTTTTGAATAATTCAATCAAGCAAAGATCTATATAAAAATAGATTTATGAAGATAATCCAAAATAAAGAGCTTTGCTATTTAGAAGAAGGTTATCCAATATAAACTATTTAGGTAAGAAAGTTGATTGATTCAAACTAATAATATTTATAATTACAGATTAAAATCGTAATTGTAGAACTTCTATATAGATATTATATCTAATGTTAAAAAAAATAATTGGCCTTGCATTGATGAGATTATATAAAATTCCTACCTTATTGAAGATGTTTCTATTCTTCCTTTTTAACATCCCATTTTGTTGTGATGTACAAACAATGGTCAATTGATAAATAATTCTATGGTTTTGTAAATACTTGGTAAAATCTTGTAATATGAATTCTCTCCTTTTGTCAAAATTGAGCAACAAGATTTGATTAGAGGTTTGTCTTTTAACTATCATGTAATTTTTTTAAAACATATTAAGAAACTAGTACTTTATGACCATAAAATAGATTTAGATTAGTTTTGGAGAAATCATCAATGAATATTATAAAGTAACAAAAGTGAGCTAGGAATTTGAGTAGTAGATGCTCACATACATAAGTATATATAAATTACAAAGATTTTATGGCCCAATTTGATGCCACCTTAGAAATTTGATTTCTAATTTGTTTACCTCAATAACAGCAACTACATAATTGAATTTTGCTAAAGAAGCAAGAAAGTCTTAAAATTAAGTCATTAGTTTGAAGATATTTAAGGCTCTTATAGTTTAAATGTCTTAATCACAAGTTCCAAAGAGAGGTGAGAGAATCAGCAAATTTATTAATCATAAAGGTTTTTAGTTTAAAGAGTTCTACATTCTACCTAAGTGACTCTATTTTTTACAATTTCAATTGTATTAGTATCAAAAATGTGTGTAGCTAGTTGTTTTAATTGTACAAGCCATTGTCATGATCTTATCTACATTTTCTTATGATTCTATGTGATTTATTAATGGAGATGAAAATATATTATTTAGATCCAAAACTACCAAATTTTCCAACATCTATAATTTATCCAATAAACAAAATGTTCCTTGAAAGACCAAAGACATAGCAAACTTCTTTGAGTGTTTTTATTTTTTTAGCAAGCATGGATAATTTTTTTGACTCTTGTTGTATAATAATATAGATATTTCTCCTAGTTGTAATTATTGTCTTGCTAAAGAAGTGATCTATCTACTAAAAGATAAAGTAGTCTGTAAGAAAGTACTTGAAGTATTGAAGTCCAAGATCCATTTCCTATTGGCTTGATCACTAAGTGTTAACAATTCAAAAGCTTCTAGGATGCTTTCATCACTTTGTAAGTTAGGTATAATAGTGTCTCTATAGTATTCTTTTATAATATTAACTCCATAGTTGTTATGGATTATTAGTATAGAGGAAAGAATACTAAAATTTCTAAAAATAAGATGAATGTTGAAGTTGAAGTTGGTATATTCTAATTAAAAAAATCATATTGGTAAGTACTCAACAAATGTTTGAAGTATGTTCTTTCTTGATGCATTGATAACAAATGATTGATCCTTGTTTGGATCGTTATTAGTAATATTGAGATCCTTGAAGGCCACTTGTTCCACCTCTATTCTATTGTTGTTGATACAAAAGTCCACATTGAAGCTTATTGTGATAAATATTTTGGATTTTCATGATGAGTGCTTCTTTGGCATATTCTTATGACTTTTTGAGAGCAACATTAGTTTCTATCATATCCAAATAACTCATTAATTCTTCTAATGATGGTAAGTCCTTCTCATTTTGCATATATATTATTAATTTTTGAAACATTTTGGTGGATAATTGAGAATTTCATAAACTATAATTACTAGACTCTACATCAAATTTATTGCTTTCAGATTCCTTGAAACATGATTATTATATTGCATAAAAAGAAAAAATATATCTTATTGTTTGCTTATTTTCATGTATTTCTATCAATTCAATATAACAAAAATGATATTTGTATGATTCTAGGTTATTTTGATATCGTTTTTGTTATATTGAATTGATAGAAATACATGGTTCAATATAACAAAATGTAAGGTTCAATATAACATGTAAACATTTTTTTGACATGATTCTAGGTTATTTTGATATCTTGAATGTTAAGAATGGTATACCATAAATCTAGGAGTCATAAGAATATCTTTATTCTTCTCTTCCATTTACATTAAACATCGACCACTACTGATATAGCAGTGATGTCTTCTATTCTTACTCCCTTCTCTTTGTTGTCATTGATGTTGTTTGTAGTAGAATTGTTCTCAAGTTCAATGAGGTCCCATATATCTTTTTTCCCCTAAATACTTTGCATCGTCATGGCCTAGTGTTTGTAGTTCTTGAGTTCTGTCAACATAGTTTCTTTAGAACATACATTCTCGTGAGTACTCATCATGTGCTATTTTGCAAATGTACAGATGCGATATAAGATTTCAAAGAAGGACAATGGTATGAGCATTGAAGAGATGATTTGAAGAAGGCTGGTAGATGCTATTGTATCATAAAAAGATAACTTTGATAGAAGAAACAATGTCTGTAGATGTTAATGTATCACAAGAAAAAACAATTTTGATAGAAAAAAACAAACAAACAAACAAACAATGTTTGTAATAACAAAAGAAGTGGAAAGAATCAAACAAAACAAACTTCATAGAAGAACAATGCTCAAAAGCAAACTAGGCAGAATGGCAATTCTAATACCATGACAAACAACAAGAGAAATCATTGTTCCAACAAATAGGACATCGATGATCATAAAAATGTAGACTGGTCATCTTCAGATTCATTAAAGCTGGATGGATTACTATTTGGAAATGATAAATATCGGTAGGGGACTGATAATGCCTTAGCTGCAGGGGCGTGCCCAATTAGAGTCTCTACCCCAGTTTCAGCCCGCGGCAAAAACTGGCTCCCTCAGACATGGTTGGCTTCTTTGCTTCGCTTTCTGTGAAATTCCATCCGCTACGTGCAAAACCATCCGCATCAGCACCATTCGCTGTATAAACTTCACTGAGGTCATGTGGAAATGGGCTTCGGTGGATCTTTGCCTCTCTCCCGCGCAATGGCGCTGAAATTGTCCCATGCCGACGCAGAAATCGCATGTCTCGATGGGATAGCTTCAGAACCTGTTTCCAAGATGGATGCACTACTACTCTCATGGCAGGGTGTGGCGTCGTAGTCACTTGAATGCAGTGGTCCACAGTGGCGGCCAAGGCCGTTCTGTTTCGGCTTTTATCAGTGACGAAACGATAAGCAGTGACAAACACGTTTTTAAGGTGCTCGTAGCCTTAACTCCGATGTTGCAGCGACGTTAATGCGTGATGGACGGGTTAGTCAATGTGGTGATTTAACAGGCGTTTTGATAGTTTTTAGTGTTCATAATTTCTTGGCTTGTGAAAGGACTTTTGATGGAGGTGTATTACGAGGGGATTTTATTCCGTCTCCCTCTGTGGCACAGTGCCAAGGGATTATTTATGCTTAAGTACTTGGAGTAGATGGGGCCGTTCCCATCAATGCGGAGCTCGTTAATGTACGCTTTGAGAAGGCGTGATTTCTGGTGCACGACCTGACAGGCATGAAAAATGACTCTTCAATCTCTTGGTTTTTCTGTTATTTTTTTATTTCTCTTTTCTTTTCTTTTCCATTGCTGCGACTGAGGGAAAGGTTTGGACCACACAGACGTCTGAATGTTCAGAATGTTCAGAGCTGGGACCAGGGATGCCGTCATGATTTGGTGAGCATCATTCCCGATATGTCGAAGGTCATTTAGACGTCCTACGAAGCTGCAAGAAAGAAAGCATCATTGTGTGTTCTCCCCATCTAGCTGGCAGCGGTTTCGTGACTAGGGTGGGTCCTGGAATGATGATTCGTGAATTTTCGATACCTGTGAGGATCGGCTCGGAGGGAGCGAAGAAGGGGTTTGAACGGTTAGTCCAATTTCTTGGATTGGCACGAGAGAGAAGCGCCTGGTTTGTCGCTTTTAGTGAAGCGTGCTTTTCGCTTCTGGACGCTGGAGATAACTTAATTTGGGTATGAGAGTTTATCTTCGAGGATAAGGTACTGTGGTTGTGAAAGATGTGTAGAGCAGTATCAGATTGCTGTTATGCTTAGCCTTTAGAAGAGATAACCCCAATTTCCAAGTAATTTGGGTGGGAAGAATTGATTCCATTAGTAGCAAACCCCTTCTGGGATTCCGCTGTGGAAGGTGCTTGTGAACTGAAGATGGAGATCGATCGCTGTATATAACCTATGTTTACGAGTTTCTTTTGATACGATTCGTGAGTGTGACAGAAGTCCGGCCATTTCACAAGAGGTTTCAAATTCTGTGCCTTTCTATTATGACGCCGTACTTTTTTTGAATATGGTATGATGATCTGCGGCATATTTTTTTAGAGGCTTTGCTTATATTGGCCAGGGGAAGAGGAGATTGCTTCGCTTGGTGTGCGTTGGTGTAACCCAAGCAAATCGTGGCGAGGAACCTATTTTCAAAGTAGTTCCATGTTGTCTTGTCGATTAGCTAAGAGTTTTATTGAATTTCTCTAGTTCGATCCGCCACTACTCGCATATGATGCTCAAGAAATTATTGCACCTCTCGTTATACTTTTCATGTGATTCAAATCTGCAATTAACTTGTAACCTTGTGAGGTCAACATGTTAGACAACCATTACTTACCTGCATTTTGACCTCTACTCAAATGAGAGGATGATTCCCGTTAGGCAGGACTGGATGTCTGTCATTGACAGGGGTTAGTTTGAATCGAATGAGGCGCTCCTTTGCAGCCGATGAAGGTCTGCTCTAATTCAGTTGAGGTTATATTTGTGGTAGCGATTGTAGAACCTGAACACTGGACGATCCATACATTTTCGATGCAGGATGTTCAAAATTGTACCAAGTTTTTGTTTCTTATTCATGATAGTCGTTTGGTTTTGATTGAGGAATGAGACGATTGACAAATCATTGTAGGTTTTGGGACACGAGGGTAAATTTACAAATTTGTCGTTGAACGGTCGTTGTCATGGAGTTGAGACTGACCTTATCAATTTTCTACTTCAAACAGAGTCCCACAAAACTGAACATAAGAACGCCCTCATTGAAAATCTAATTGCCATGAAATTCAGGCACGAAATATTTCATGGCATCTAGATTGGCATAGTATCTTTTGTTTGAATGTACAAGCATTTTTACTGGTGCATTGATCTTTCTCAAGTCACTGTCTTCATGAGAGCTGCTACTGTAAAATTGCAACAGGGTATGGCAGAAAGAGAGAGGGTAATGAAGAGAATATGAAAGGGATGAGCTCCAGAAATATCAGTGAACATCTGCCCGCCATGCAGCCTCGCAGTAAAAAAGGGCAGCAGTGCGACGACATACAGCCTGAACATCTTTTGGTACTTGTCCATGGGATTCTTTCTAGGTGGTCTCTCTCACCTCGCTTGATTTCCTTTCATGATCTTGCACATGCCTCATATTCGCACATCCTATATTATGTAGACCTTACGTTTCTGCATGGAGCTTTAGTTCTCGTTATTTCCAGATGCAGACCATAGGCGATGTCATCTCTTTCCTTTCAGTTCTAACATTGAGCGCCTGATGATCGTCTACTTAAATGCAGTCCTGCTGACTGGGAGTATGTACAAAAAGCGCTTCAGAGGCGCCTGGGGAACAAGTTCCTGATTCACGGTAACGTGCTAACTCCTCCCGTGCAAACCTCGTTGTATTTTCAGTGTCCATTGCGCCCGCCCAGCATGTTTGATTAATATTCTAAAGGATTCTAAGTAAGATCCTGATAACACCCTGATTGTGAGATGAAATATCTTGTACTATTCCGCTAATGGTAATTGTTGGGGTAGTCTGCTCTGCTCATTTCTTCCCATTAGCACTTCTTTTCATGCTTCTATTTTAGGTGGACGTTGTGTTGAAGCGATTGAATAACATTTGGTTGCTTTAAACATTCTTACATGTTGAATTGTGGTTTGTATTAAAGAACGCGCATTTAGTGTCTCCTGCAGCAAGCGCTGTAAACTCGTTCCTGAACACCCTTGGTGGTATTGATCATGCTGGGCGGCGTCTCGCTTCAGAGGTACTAAACTTCCAAGTTTACTACGAATGATGATCATGTCGCCCACGACATACTATGTACGCTCTTGGCAATCGACAGGAGGCGGGGAGGGTGGGGGTATTATTATGATATGTAACATGGCATACTGATTGTAGTTTGGGGTGTTGAAATTAGATCGAGCGAATTGTGGAGAAAGTTCCGTCCCTGAAGCGTATATCCTTCCTAGCTCATTCACTAGGCGGTCTTTTTGCACGTTATGCGGTGGCAATGTTGTATACGTCAAAAGATGATATAACTGAAGACATGAGCACTTTGGAAGATTTTGAGAGCAGAGGTGAGGAGCATCCCGTACTTCGTCTTCGCCGAGAACCTAAGATTGCTGGTTTGGAAGCAGTCAACTACATTACTCTTGCCAGTCCTCATTTGGGTGTACGTGGAAAGAAGCAGGTAACTTACAACTCAAACAACCTTCAACTTATTGGTATTCTATGTCCTGGTTGGTAGAAGATGAAGGTGGTTAATCTGACCGCAGTTCCTTTCATCAGCTGCCATTCCTGCTAGGAGTGCAAGTGCTGGAAAAGCTTGCGGCTCCAATTGCTCCTTTTGTTGTGGGGCGTACAGGAAGACAGCTTTTCTTAACGGACGGCAAGGCCAGTGATCCTCCTCTGCTTCTGCGCATGGCCTCGGATTGCTCAGAGGGTCTTTTTATGTATGTCCTCTCTTTACACAATTTCAATTGTTTCTATTCATTTTTTTTGTTACATTTTGCGAAAATTTTCCGAACAGCCACACCTTTCTTAGGATTGTATTTGTCAGGTGCAAAGTCAGCTAAACTGAATGTGGCATTGTTGATCGATTTACAGATCTGCGCTGCGCGCCTTCAAGTCGAGAGTGGTATATGCGAATGTCAGCTATGATCGTATCCATACATTGTTTCTGTGCAAAGTATTAGTTCATGTTCGCTGTTAGGTGCTGGCTAGGTCGGATTCCTTCGTTGATCTTATGTCTGGGATGGATTTTCGGAATCGTAAAATGGTTGAAATGGAAGGTCTATAGGGTGATGGTCCAATAAACCATTCCTGTTCCGAAAATTTCGAATCATGAAATAAATAATCTGAAGCCATACCTCCTCATGCTTATCGGAGGCATATGATTCAGCGGTGATAATCACAGAGATAACAGCCTGGTTTTTGGGCTTTAGGAACTCTTTCACCAGGTCTTCATATTTTTTCCAGTTTTTCTAGTGCAAGCTGTTTTTCTTGTGCGTAATGAAAGGAGGTTTTATTTGACTCTGCCGACAGACATGGTGGGATGGCGGACATCCTCAATCAGGCGCGAGAGCGAACTTTCCAAGGTTTGTTATGGATCGTTGTCTTCTTCAGTGGTAGTTTCTGGGTTGTTATGCCTTGACACAGAGTGCCAAGAGATGTCTTTAGTCTCGAATAATGGACTTCTAATGAGTAGACTTGTTTATATTAGAATTTAGACTGATTAAAAGAATGTACCTTATCTCTCAAAATTGGTAGAATAACACAAAAACTTACAGTTGATTTGGATGGTTGCAGCCTCCCAGGGTCTCCATGGATGGTTACAAGCATGTTGTAAATGTAGCCTACTATCCAGCAGTGAACAGCGATGCACCTAGTTTTCAGCAGGAGTCTGCTCAAGGAAAAGCTGCGGCTCAAGCTTCTCCCAGCAGCAAGAAAGCTGACGCATATCATGACACGCTTGAAGGTTTTGTGCCATTGTCCGACTCTTCTAAGCATTATCATTCGTTCCGCTTAGTGTTTTCTTGTCTGGGGTCTGGCACTATGCTACAGTAAAACAATTATTGATATTCGAACTTTTGTCATATACAGAAGAAATGGTGCGGGGGTTGCAGCAGGTGAGCTGGCGCAAAGTCGATGTTAGCTTCCACTCAGCTTTGTGGCCCTTCTTGGCGCACAATTCTATAACTGTGAGTTCATCATTTTATGTAAATTTGACTTCAGCATCCTGGCACAGACGTGTAACAAAAGACATCATTGTTTACTTGTTAAGTTTTAGAACATGACTTTACTTGCTATGTGCTCGTACTTTGGTTTTTGTTTCTCAGGTTAAGGATAGGTGGATACATTATGAAGGGACAGGAGTGATAGCGCATGTGGTTGACGCCTTTGCACAGCAAGAACAGAACGTTTTTCTGGTAGCAAGCTTGTAGTTCCTAAGTCAAGAGGTTCAAAGAATTGAAATTGTATCTATGACTTCAGATCTTCACATAAGAATATGTAGTTGTGTGCTAGATTTTCATTTAAGTCGCTGTAGTAAAGTAGGTCTCACAAGAATCTTGAGATGATGTGGAAACCATGAAGGTATGTGCAAAATACGGAGCGGAGAGAAATCTGCCTCAGCAACTAGTGATCTGGTGATGGGCTGCTATTACTGAAAGCGAACTGGAGCATAGAAAATGATGCAAGTGATATAGTCATTTCAGTACTGCTTGTAAATATGCAGTCCAAGATTAAACTCGTACATGAAGAACAGATATTTATTCATATTCGAGTTCAGTTAAAATATGCTTTCAACTGTCACGACAGAAAAGAGAAAGAAACGCGCAAGGCATGTGAGGGTATTACCTACCGTTCTATTAAGAACCGCATTCATCAGTAACCCCCAAACTCGATACCCCGAAGTGGCAGGCAAAAGACGACAATTGTATCGTAAAATACCCCTTAATTGAGAAGCCCACGAAGAAAACGCCCAACCTATCAAAGGATTTTACAAAAATATTAAAAAAACAAACAAACAGACAAACAAAATACAGCAACTTACAACAAACTCAGAGAGCACAACCGCATTCCCAAAATGCAGGTGGGTACTGCAGCGATCTACAGGGATGATTTCAACACCACCATCATCTTCCTGACGCATTCCAGGAAGCGATAACACTCATGTCCACGCCTTTTGTCATCGCACTTCCAATCCAAAAAGGGATCCTCCGTGCGGCACCTGTTCAACGGGGTGAGCAGCCTTGGACCACATGTGCTGCAACACCAGCGGCAAGCGGGCGTCCATCCCCTTTCCCTGCGACGCCAAAATACTCTCCGCCATAGCCATGTCGCCGCCCCGCCATAGCCATAGCCAACCGACCACCCTTTGTTCCGTGTCATCAGCAAGGGAAGATCTCTCGAATTGACACCCGGACAGAAACCCTTTGAGCACCATGACGTGATTGTGGTAAACACCCGGACTCTAGTCTCATATATCCGCCATGTACTCTGATAACTGGTTATCAGTTCATTTGAATGAATGTCATTTATTCATCCTGATTATAATGGTTTCGGAGGTCGTCCCCGAAACCTAAAGCTGCCGCTGCTGTGAGTTTTTGATCTTTTCCAGTACAGCCAAGGCCTGCATCAGTGCTCGAGGAGGTCACCACGCTGCGTTCTCCGTAGGAGTCGCCAGCCACCATGAAGTTCTCGCCCCGTGAGTTTTTTCTATCCTCACTCATGAGATATTGGTTTTTTAATTTTTTTAGGGCTGATGTTCTGCTCGAGAAACGAGTCTCTTCTTGCAACATGGGTCTGCGGGGCTTTGTTGGATGTTTCTCTGGGCTGACTTGCGGCTTCCTGCGAAATCACATGTGTTTAGAGACGCTTTGTGGGCAAGCAGCTCTTCTGTTGACGGTCATTCGATGTTGAGATCTTCATTGGAAGTTTGAGTCTACTAGGCAGCACATGACCTGGAAAAATATAAAAACGATTGGATGACTTAATCGTTATCTTTTTGATGTGATGACTTAATGTGAAAGGCTTAAGGATGGGTTGAGTAGGCGCTGGAGCTGCGGTTTGCACTTTACTCTGATTTTCGTAGGTTTAGGTTTCGGTTCTGACTTTTAATTTGTGTGTCAAAATATGTTCGCGTGCGGATCGATTATTTTTTTTCTCTTTCGAGGTGTCTGACATGAATTCTGTACAAATAATGGGAAAGTCTAGGTTAATTTCCAGCGCATTTTGTGCACAATGATCGCACTGGACGTGGATAGCTTTGGGTTTTGCCATGAACAAACCCTATTTTTTTCCGCCGTTGGAGTGTTTTATAAAGAGTTCAATCAGTGTTTTCGTTGTTTTTTATGACTGTTTTAGTGTAGTGCTGCGCCTGCGAGATACTCTACTAACTGTGTCTCAGGTAATTTGGTTTTCCTTTGCAGGTGTGAGCAGCTCTAGGCGCAAGTCCCGAAAGGCACATTTCAGTGCCCCTTCCAGCGAACGCCGCATTCTTATGAGTGCTGCCCTCTCATCAGACCTCAAGAACAAGTACAATGTATGTTTTACATTTTTCCGTCGCTGCCGGATTGGTTTTAAATAGCATGCACGGCTGAATCCACCGTAGCACGTTTGAATTGAACTGCCTCAAGAAATACGAAGTGTGTGTAGTGCCGGAAGCTGTCTGTAAAGCAGTTGAATCAAGTCCTTAAATTATTTCTTTATTTGTTTAAGGTCAACTAATTAGGCTTACCCTCCTCCACAGGCGCGCTCTGTTCCTGTAAGGAAAGATGATGAAGTCATGGTTGTGCGTGGCACATACAAGGGCCGAGAAGGGAAGGTCGTCCAAGTTTACCGGCGCAAGTGGGTGATTCATGTGGAGCGCATTACTCGTGAGAAGGTCAATGGTATGGGTTAATCTCTCTAGATACGTGGTCAAACAAGTCAGCCAAAATCGGTTAAGCTAGTTTATTGCTTCAACTTTCGTTTTTACTTTTTGTTCATGTTGTTTTCAACTAGTTTCGGCGCCTCACCTTGTGATGCAACTTTGTAGGCGCAACTGTGAATGTCGGCATTGATGCATCGAATGTAGTGATTACGAAGCTCAAGCTAGACAAGGACCGCAAGGCTCTTCTTGAGAGGAAAGGCAAGGGTCGTGCTGGTGACAAGGGCAAGGGCAAGTTCACTGATGCGGATGTGTCTCCTCCTCTTCAGGAAGTTGATTAGCTTATAAAACTCTCCAAATGAGTACATTGTTTCATAAGCATGAATTGCTTAATAGCTTTTTAATCATGTAAAGCTCTGTCTATTGTCAGTATTGCATTCATCCTTCCATCACGAAGGAAATTATTGCAAGGTTATTGAAGTTTGAAATTTGTTTGAGTTGACGTGCAATGTTCTCAAATTGTTCTTACTATCTTCAAGAAGTGATCGATATTTAATTATCAATCATTGGATTGGATCAAATTCATGCATCTTCTTTAATTTTACGTTTGAAACTTTTTGTTTAAAAGTATTAAAAAGCTGAAGGTTCTGTATGTTTTACTAGCTAAATTTTGGAATCATGTGAAAGAGTAGTAAGGACGGGATCTCACAATTGTGCTGTAACAGTTGTGTCCTAATCAAAACTGTTTAATCTGACAACTTTTTTTTGGTTTTGGAACCTGCTAAATTTTTATTAAAGAAGAGTTTATTTACTTCAAAAAGGTTGTCTGTGAGTCTCGACTTTGTAGAAGGAATTCATGAGTTAGGAACATTCAGTATCATGTAGGCATTTTTCCTCAGATTTCCTTATATATTTTTTGCTTAGACTTTTTAATAAACCATTACAGGACAGTACCACTGTTCTCACCGACAAAGATTATTTTGAGTTCCAACATTTTTAGCTTTTATGTAATTTAATTTCTAATGAAATAGTCAAAAGTATTATCAGTTTCAACAGGAATTACATGATATTTTTCTCTCATATATTTATCAAAAGATATTTACATTGTACATATCTGGATCTTGTATTAAACGTGTTAAAATACAAATGAGGTATATGTAAAGAATGAGATAACAAAGTAAAGTTAGGATGTTGAAATCATAAAACTTTTCATCTAAAGTCCGTTCCTAAGTTGAAGCATTTTAATGAATTTTTGGACTTAGCCTTGTTTCAATAAATTTCTTATTCACTCGTGTATGATTTGTTGAATTCATGATACTGATTGTTTGTAAATCTGAGAAAGAATGTCAGTTAATATAATTCGTAAAGTAATCTTTCTCATTTTTAAAATATCGTTGAATGAGTATCAAACATTTGCTGCAACCTTCACTAGAATTATTGTTTAGCAAGGACCAACTTTTTGACGTTAAATTCATTCACTTATTCTGACTATGATATTCTTTGTTAATGTAATTTCAATATTTTCAATGCTAGAAATGATTTGATTTCGATTTTGATTTATTTTCTTCAATTTAAAATTTCAAAAATTCAAAAATTCAAAAATTATATATTTATTAAAATATTGATTTTCATTCTATTAGATTTTTACAATAACAATAGTAATAAAAAAAATAGAAAATCAAAATTATATTTTTTTATTCTTATTTTTATTATTTAATGATATTTAAATATATGTTGTATTTAAATTTTATATTGTTTCATAGCTTTAAGATAAACTCAAAGTTATGTACTTACAAGTTAAACTATATCAAACCTAACATTAAATTTGCATATTATCTATTTGTATTTTAATGATATTTTGTAGTCTACACAATAAATAGAATACAAAATTCTAAAAACTTTAAATGCTTTTGGCAAGTAAACATTCTATATATATATATATATATATATATATATATATATACATATAAAAGATAGTTTAAAATGTAGCATGTTGGAAGTATATAATCTTAATCAACTAATGCATGTAATTTTCTTTTTGGTATCAATAATTGTTAATAATTCCTACTTATTTTTATTGCTAATTTATAATGTAGTTTTTGTCAAAGCAAATTATCAAATTAAAAAAAATTGGTTCTGGAAATATGAATCTCAATTTAGAAGTTTATCCTTACCATGTAATGTAATGCTAGTAATAACATTGTTTTTAGCATACTTTCAAGCTTAAGTTTTCAATGCAAGTTGCTCATACGCTAGTTTAGCAATTATAGGCTAGGATTCATTAAAAATTAAGTAATAAAAATCAAACTTCTATATGTGATATTCTATAGAATTACATTGGAATTTTAGTTTTTTACAAGGACTATTTTAAGAGCTAATTTTTATGAAGCAAGCCCAAATTCTTAAAAAAAGATGCCTCCAATTATACATAAATCAAAGCAAAGTTATTACCACTTTAGAATATCAAGCAAATATTGAACCAAGATTTACTAGATTTAATAAATATTTTTTTTATTATACACTTATGTGCCAATGATTAGGATTTCTTCATTAGATTTAGTTTCATATTTATTATTAGAATATAATAATTTAAATCCTAGGTTCATAATTTTTTAACTTGTTGCCTAGTTAGACTCTTTTGAGCTTTATTTAAAGTACAATACTTGTTCATTATTAATTCTCTTTTAGAATTGCAATATGATAAAAAAAAAAAAATAGAAGAACAAGTTGTTATCATTATGTTGGAGATCTTTTTATAATAACATTCATAAGATGATTGTGTCTTTTGGACCAAAACCTACCAATTTTATATTCCATACTACTATTTAGATAAAATTGTCTACAATCCATTTTACTATTCTTATCATCTTTTGTTGGCTTGTAGTACATTGTATTCCAATAGATTATGTAGTAAAAATATCAACTATTAATATTGCATCTAGTCATCTTTATATATAGTCATTGATTGTTATGCCTCTGCGAATCCCTTGGCATATATATATAAAAGTCTTATAATATCCTACAACTACTACTCACATTAAAACAATATGACAAAGTAAGTGCTCACTATACATAATATTATTATAAATCTTTTTTAACTATTATTTTTTAATAATTTTTATTTAATATCTTTTTTTGCATCTATTAGTTTTTAGTAGGAAGAGCCTTAGAAATATATTATTGGATATTGCTTTCTTTGCTAAAAGTGATGTTTTATTAAAGTGCATGTGGTCTACTCTAAGTGTGGCTGGAGGCTCATTTCTATTTGGAAACATGAGCAAAACTAGTATATTTAGTATAAGCATAAAAAAAACCAACAACCATAGATATGGATAATATATTTGCTTCTAATGATGCTTAGAACCAAAATAGAATGGAAGTTTTATCTACTAATTTCTATATATATATATATATATATATATATATATATATATATATATCAACAATTAGAGAGAATTATTTAGATTTTTTGGTCAATTCCTAAAAAAAAAATTATTGGATTTGACAATAGTATTTACTAATAATACATGTTAATATTTTAAATCTTGTATTATCTTTAATTGCATTAAAATTAATAGAATATATTAATATAATCATTAATATGTGATAAGATATTTTTAGTTTATTATTATTTTTAGTGATAAATTCAATTACTCATCTTTAATCAAAATTTGTGTAAAATTGGTTTATTTGGAATTTTGCACATTTGTATTTGTAAAAGAGATCATTATTATTTTTTAGCACTCAAATGAAAAAAATGTGTTGTAATTTCTTTCTAACTTATTAGTCTGTGGTTTATTTACTTAAATCTTAATGTAAGTGTTTATCAAGGACATGAACTTCAAAAAAATTAGAAGGTCAATACCTTCTTCTGTCACTCAAAAAGATTAAAAAATCACTCAAAGATGATATAGTATTAAACTAGAATGGCTATTGCTAAAAACAAGAAGATTAGAAAGCCTTGAAAGAAGATTATGGACTAAAAAGGTATTGAGAAGAATAAAGAAGACTTCACTCTTGCTTCCATATATACTATTTAACTACGAGCTACATACCAATGTTCTGTAGGACTTGCAGCATGTATTGACTTTGCAAGACATATCTTAACTTATAAGGCAAGTTTTCTATAGATGTTCCATCATAGTTAGCTTGTTCTATAAGCTACCAATACATGTGACATGTGGCTAATTTGTTGACCAAGTTTTTAATGTGCCAATCAACTATAAACATGTGTAAAGTCCAAATCACATCTATGAAGTTTTTCTAGAAGATATTATGAAATTAATCTACTTTTACCTATTGCTACTTAATCATATAAGTAACTATTAAAATAGATATGTATGTCCATGACAATGATATAGATTTGGAATCTATAGAAAGTTACTTTAGAATACTATTTATGATTTCAAATATTTTTTGTAATTGCTCGATAAATATGTCCTTATTAAATAATTTCTATATCCAAGTATTATTTTTTTAATCTTTTTAAAACTAAACCTATATGCAACATATATTGCAATTCAAAAACAAATTGAGTATTGAACTTAGTATTATTTTTAGGTTAGATTATCTTGGACATATTTGTTGTTTATGGAGTGAATTTCTAATTTAGATTTTGCATATATGTATCTCTTGGCAAATGGTATTGATTTTAGTTATTTAAAAACTAAGTCTATATAAGAATAAAAAATTATTGTGGTTTCTAGTATATTACAAAGCACTTCTTTTATAGAAGTATTTTTAAATTCTTTCACAATAAAGAAAGAATAATTACTTCAAAAGTATGTAACTCTTTACAAGCTTATAACTTTCAACATATAATGATTTTTTTTAATTAATAGAGCAAGGCTACTTTATTAAAGGACTAAATTTATTTCAGTACTTTAATGTTGATAAAAGAGATATAAAATGTCATTTTCTTGCTATAATAGTAAATCATAAGAATACACAATGTAAGCTTAAATGACTATTAAGAAGTAAATTGATTAATATATGGTAGTATTATTATTTGGACCAATGAATATATGTTTGGTTTGCTGAATTGACGAATCCTCTAAAAGAAGATTTAAAGTATTATGCACAAAGTATATAAAAAAAAAAAAATGTTATACATGTCAATATATTATAATCTTGTTCGTATTTTTATATATATATTGTGTATGTTACGGACATCAAATAAGAATATTCTATTAGATTCTAAAAGATTTCAGAATATTCTTAAAATATTCTTATAAGATTTTTAAAAAGTTCTAAAAGATTTTTAGCATATTTTAGTAAGTTCTAAAAAGTTCTGAAAGAATTAAGAAAGTTGTTTGAGAAGCTTCATAAGATTGCTTCATTTTTAAGTAAAATAAGAATTTCTAATGAAGTTTCTTAAAGTTGCTTCATCTTCAAGCAACATAAAAACTTCTTGAGAAGCTTTTTAATACCTAATATATATAGGAATTGAGGTTAAAGAAATTCTTAGTCTTGATAATACATTTCTTAGAATTCTAGCTCACC